ACCGCCACAGCCATGTAAAGAGACTTTAGGATAAATGAGACTTGGGCCTATTTCGATCTGAATGTAAAGGCCCGATCCTGCAACTCCTTGCTCTCTCTTGAGTATTCCTTACTCCGGTGGGTGAGTCATTGGACTACCAGTGGGAGAAAGGGTTTAACAGGGATTGGGGCCCAGTTAAAATGATCGTCAGAGGCGCCACCGTTTTTATGGCCTTGTAACAGGGGAGGCCTGCCAACCGTAGTCCCAAAGGAGGCACGCACCTGAGCAGGGGTTTGGCTGATTCCCCTATACGGAGGAGCAGGAAGCTGCAAAGAGTGGCTCCGGCAGTGAAATCTGGGATTTGGGAGTGAGTTTACATGCATGTGAGACTGATCTGTTGGGAGCCTAGCTGTGAGGCCTGGCAGAGAGAGAGAGATTGATGTCAGGATGTTGGGGGGCCCGCCTGGAGGCATTTTGCTCTCTCTGACAGGTCTGGTTCTCGGTTGCCCAGCAGCCATTTGCACCAGTGCAAAGTGGGTGCAAAATTAACACAACAGCACGGCGGTGATTGACACCCCAGCTTTGCATTGGGGCAAATGGCTGCATGAGCTGCAGGGCAATGGAGAATCAAGCCCTTTAATCTTCCCCGACACAGGCTTTTCAATCCAATAAGAAGCCAATCCTCTGAGCGCTCTTCAGTTTCCATTTGCCGTGCCCTCTGCTGAAGTGCACAGTGTGATAAGACGCAGCCTGCCCCGGATCAGGTGGCCTTATCAGCAGATAAGGGCAGGCAGTGCTCCCATTTGTCAGGAGCAAACGGAATAGAGGATCCGTCCAGCAAAGGACGCCTCTTCAGTCGACATTGCTAATGACAGCTAATTTAGAGGCGGGGCGGGTGGGGAGGACGGGGGAAGCGGTCGCAAGTGCAGTGACTCTCCAGGTCTGACAGGCGATGTGGAAAAACGCTCGGACAAGGTCATTAGGACAGTGGGGATGCAGCGGTGTACCTGATGTGTTGGGACACCACAGGAGACAACCCTGGTGTGTTTAAAGTATCCAAATGCTCTGTGTGTCTCTGAGAAAAGAGCAGCGCCTGAAGGAAGAAAGGGGCAGGTGTGCATACTGGCCCTCCCGTGCTCCAAGGAAAGAAGGGACAAGCTATTATTATTTATTGATTTATAATATCTTAGTACTTACCTCTGCAACTGAGATTGGGGAACTGTGACGCTAGGTGCTGTACAAACATATAGTAAGGGTGTGTGTACACGGGGAGTTATTCTGGAGTAGCTATTCCTGCTTAACTTTGCCTGCTTAACTCCCTGCGTGGAGACTTGAGTCAGGAATCCGAGTTCCTTATTCCAAATTAGTTTAATCCACTTCCCAAGTGAATTAGTTTAATCCATTTTGGAAGCGGATTAAGCTATTTTGGAATAAGGAACCTCTTATTCCAGAATAAGAGCATTCACACAGGATGTTAATCGGGAATAACTATTCCGCTTTAAACTCGCACCCTACCTTAATCTGAATTAATTTCTCAATGTAGACAAGAAGAGACAGTCCTTGCCCTAGAGCTTCCACCTTGAGTTGGCAAGGCAGGCAAATGGCCCAGTGGGTAGGGGAGTAGAGGTGGAAGACCTGGGTTCCATCCTGGCTCTGCCATTAACAGGCTGGGTGACCGGGAGGGCGAAATCATAGGAACTGTCAGACTGGATCGGACCTGAGGTCCACCTCCTTGAAGATCCTGGCTCTGACAGCGACCAGCGTCAGCCCCGCTAATGCATCCACACTATGCTATGCCAACCTTCTCATTCGGGCTTGAGCTGCATCCACACTGCAAAATGATAGGGGTTGGACCCGAGTCCCAGGAGGACTTGGGCTCTGACCCACACCTCAGGCACGGTTCTAAGACGCAGGTCCTAAGTGCTTGCTGACCTGAGTCAGACTGCTCTGTGTGTGTGGATGGAAGTGGAGCTTGGGCTCAAACCTGAGTCAGATCCCAGGCTTTGTGTGTAGTGTAGACACGCCCTATTAGTTAGACTCTGTCTAAAGCATAAGGTTTCTCTGCTGTGTGCTTCACTTGCCCCCTTCTTCCTTTTTTCCCTCTGGACCATAAGATCTTTGGGCACTCTGGCCATGTATGTACAGCACAATGGGGAGATTTGGGACTCGTGTTCCTAAACCCTTTAGGCGTAATAGAACGAGTGTGTTAGTTTAATACAAATAAAGGATGAAGACAGGGAGCCGTATCCTCCTTTTACTAATGGGGAATTAAGGCACAGCAAGATGAAGTAGCTATTCCAGGGAGTCTGTGACAGAGGCAGGAATGGAACCCACGTACCTGATACCCAAACCGACACCGGAACCCCATGGCCGGCCTGTCTCTCTATCTCTCCACCCATTGAGGTCAATGCACTGACCCCTTCTCTTCGCTGCAGCATGGGGGGCTACAGAGCGGTGCACTGGGGCACTCCTGACAGCCTTGCACCTTAGCATGTGAATTGGTGGCTAGGGTGGATTTAATAAGGGCCGGAGCAGTCAGTGGTTAACGAAGCAAAAGGGAAGGCACCAGCATTGGCTGCGGCCTTGGAGGAGCTGGGATGCCGTGTGAGAGAACCCGCTATCTGTGTGCCAGAAGCACAGAAGACCGGCAATGACCACTGCTGATGTGGAGTCAAGGGAAGGCAGAGTACAATGGCAGGGAGTTATGTGCAGTGGGTTCTAGCTGGTACCTCTGTGTCATGCAATAGTGGGAGGTGCCACTTTGGGGCCAAAGGGAGAGGGCTTGATTCACCGTGGACTCACACCTGTCGTGCAAAGTGAGTGTGCAATGCTGCCGGATCAGAATGGGCAGCATTTCCCGCTCGCTTTTGCACTGGTAGACAGTGACAGCGCGAGGTTCAGGGCAATGGAGAATCAGGCCCAGAAGTTGCGACGCCTGTGAGACAGGATCACAGAAACCGACGGGCCTGATTCTATTCACCCGGTGCCTTGCGCAGAGGTTTACACCCGTGCGAATTGGGTGTAAAACTCTACCATTCGGATTTGGGAGCATTTCCCACTCCCTTTGCATGAGAGCAACTAATTACACAAAAGAGGCCTTGACACCCACCGTAAGGCCCTGTCATACTGGTGTGATGAGGCATCCCCTGGTGATCTTTACCCACTTGCACTGGTGTAAATGACTGGGCAAGGCGCAGGGCAGTGGAGAATCGAGTCTGCAGTTCTTATTGCCATTGGAGCCTGAGGCCCATTTACCTAATCTGGCCGTAGGCCCCTTTACGCTGCCAGAGTGGGGTAAAGGGGACTTGGCAAAACTGAGAATCAGCCCCCTTGGTTTTAGTTCCGCAGCTTCCAGTGAAGCGTGCGCTTTGAGCTACCGCAGCCCGTGCCAAAGAGATCTCTCCTGCTCAAAAACCAGGCTTAAAAGCCAGACAGATGGTGGCTCTGCTGGGGATTTTGCTAAAATGTCTCTTCCCTTGATTCTGCCATATGTAACTTCCAACGGCGATCGTCCTCCTTGCACTTTGGTAGCATCCGCCTTGGGAAGCGCTCGGCGGATATGAATCGGTTAGGCCCCGCGAGGGCCCAGAGGAGGAGGGGGAGGCTCAGTATTATCCTCCCCATTGTCCAGTTGGGGAAACTGAGGCATAAAGCGGGCAAGTCTTCTGCTCCCACCACGCTGGCTGCATAGCCCTTTAAATTTCCCATAACACCTCACTCGGCAGCCTGCCCATAGCATGTGTTTTCCCCTGTGTTCCCTTCTCTGTCCATTCTAGCAGCGTGGCTGGCCCGGTCAGGAGATCCATAACCCACATAAACCCCACATGGATCCAAAGTCCTTCCCCCTCCCCGCCCTCAGATCCAGATTGGATGCCTTTCTGGATGAGACGCGTTAGTCAAACACAAATCACTGGGCTCAGTCCGGGGGAAATT